CGTAATGACAATCTGTTCCTGACTTTCTTTTACATTTTTGTCGTTCATCAATTTTCCGAGATTCTCTAGTTCTTGCAACTTTAATTTGTCGTCGCTTTTCCAGAATCTCGACAGTAGGAGGAACATTTTTATCCATGCTTTTATGCATTTCCGTAAGACCTTGTTTCGAATTATATTGCAAAACTGCCTCCGCAACTCTAGCATTGTAAGAGCCTCGGTTACTAAAATTAATGCGCTTACCAGCAATTTCTTTGCAGATTATCGAATTGAACGACTCTACAGGATTGTTGGTGTATTTGTACAACAAACCGTCGGAATAAGCGCTTAAATATATGATAGCCTTCTCTACTCTTTGGTAAAGATCGTGTAATTTGAGAAACGGTACATAATTTTTCTTCGTTTCATCAAGGTCACATACGACCGCGTTTCTTACATCGTTTATGTTCACCAAATATATGACTAGGAATGTTTAATATATCTTTTTGTAATTCTCTAGCTTTATCATGGTGAGGTTGCTCTTGTTTATTTCGTAAATCAATTGCTTCTATCACTTCTGTTCGTATGTTCATAATGTTGTTCTTTACAACATTTCGTAGCTGGACAAAACCGCGCTTTCTATGCATTTTTGGCTGAGTTGTCCCTGCTACCGCCTGCAGCTTTTTGCATAGATTGCAAAGCAAATGATTGGTGCATTCTATTTTTTTCACGGTCACCATTTGTTCCCGATATGGTCTGCTATCAATGACGGCCTGATAGACGCTGCTATCGCCATCGGCAATAACTGTTCTAAAAATTAATCCATGCATTTCCAGGCTACTTTTAAAGCCTTCTGCAATGGCGTCGCTCTTCATACTTGTGGAGCTTGCGTTACGATCGAAATTTCTATAGCATTTATGGTTTTTTGGTTCGATTCCGTTTCGTTCCGCTACATCGTATATCGTGCAATATTTATTGCGGATACCGATAAAAAGAACTTTTTTCGTGTGGTAACCAATTAAAGTACCAACACCGGAAAGAGAATCGTAGGCGTGGCCGTACGATCTTTTACTCCAACTATCATCAGCTATTACAGTTATGTACGGAATACCGTTTATAACATCGTTCCTTTCGAGAGCCAGTTGCTTTTCAGTTTGGCCAGCCATTTTCATATTTTCCATGGCTGTTTTCTCAAACTCGTCTACTAACATATCTCGATTTTGATTATAACTTTTATCGGACATACATTGAATATTCATAGCTGCACACAGCTCTTCTAATTGGGCATGGCCAATTCCCACTGTAATAGTTTCTATTGCAGCAGCCATATCAATGCTTAATATTTTCGGATCTTTGGGTTCTGACCAGAATTCGGCTTCAGTATTGCACATTTGGCATTTGAAAGTAAAATGCGTCTTAAACTTTTCGGTTTTAGTTTTTATGAGTTTCCAATTTTTAAATTGGCACTCTATTCCTTTCATATGATTATTGAATACTCTCTGGAGTTCTTTCCATACATGAGAAAAGTCGACAATGCGACGGCCTTCAGGCAAGCGTTCCTGGATACGATTTATATCCAGAGGGCCATTCTCGATAACAAAATAATCATCTTCGCAAAGTTCGATATCTTTATTACAAATATCTGTTTCAGAAATTGACTCCAGGCATTGCACTTTTTGAGTACTAACTTTAGAATCTATTGTATCGAAATTCAATTCCACCGATTTTTGAAAATCGATGGATTCATTGCTAGTATTCTTATATGTGCTATTCCTAGAGTCATTTTTCTCTTGGCCTTCGGTTTTAGTTTTTAAGACTTTCCAATTAATTTAAATTGGCACTCTATTTCTTTCATATGATTATTGAATGAACTCTGAAGTTCATTCCACATATGAGAAGAGTCGACAATGCGACGCCCTTGAGGCATGCTTTCCTGGATATTATTTATATCCAGAGGGCTATTTTCGATAACAAAATGATTGTTATCTTCGCAAAGTTCGACATTTTTACTACCCGTACCTGTATTTGAATTTGACTCCAGGCATTGCATCGCGGGTACTAACGATTGGATACTAACTTTTCAATCCATTGTATCAGATAGCAATTCTGCCGATTTCTGATTATCGATGGATTCATTGTTAATATCCTTAAATGTGCTATACCTGGAGTCATTTTCCTCTTGTCTCTCTTTTTTCAGCATCCGTCGCCTGCAAAAAAAAATAATGTTAAAATATTGTTAAAAAAATTAAATGTATCAGTTATTATATAATTATCAAAAGATTTTTGTGAAAAATAAATGCAGTCTCTTGTTTATAAATCTATATCTTATTCAAACTATATTATATTATACAATAAAGTTTCAATATAAATGTTTTATTTTTATACTAAGCAGAGGATACATAAACCGTATCTGATGTAAAGAAGCAGTTTACGAATAAATAAGTCTGGCATAAAATATCTTCCAGAACGCACATGCAAATCGTTCTGGGAGAAGATATTTTAAAAGCAACTAACAGACGAATAAATCGTCTCTGATATAAAATATCTTTTTTTAATAACCAGAACGCACATGCAATTCGTTCTGAGAGAAGATATTTTTAAAGCAACTAACAGACGAATAAATCGTCTCTGATATAAAATATCTTTTTTTAATAACCAGAACGCACATGCAATTTGTTCTGGGAGAAGATATTTTTAAAGCAACTAACAGACGAATAAATCGTCTCTGATATAAAATATCTTTTTTTAATAACCAGAACGCGCACATGCAAATCGTTCTGGGAGAAGATATTTTTCTTTTTTTTGTTACTACTGCAACTTTATAACTATTAGTATTACTATTGTACTATTGTAACTACTACTTATTATTACTATAATATTTCTACTACTAACAACTATTTAAAATAAGCAAGAGACTGCTTTATATTTCAGAAATTGTTACTTTAGAAAATATGTATATAATGTAAAAAAAATTTATAACAATTGAACTCCATAAATATTGAATAAGAATATAATCTATATATATATAAATATATATACACACACACACACACACACACACATATATATATATATATTTATATATATACAGAGTATCCCAAAAAGATCGGAACACTGAAAAATCTCGAAAAATATACGTTTTACAAAAAAAAGTTTTAGACAAAAGTTATAAAAAATCTATTTATTGATCTGATCAGTTTGACCTTGGACAGTGTTACCAAGGTCAGAATAAGGTTACCTTAAATTTCTTAGATGTAATCCTATATTTTTTATTACATATTCTTGTAGCTTATCTCGAAGGCTTTCCAAAACACTATAATAAAATGATTTTTCATAAAGTGCTCTTTGAGTTATAAAGGTTAGAAGCTAACAATTTTTTGACATAAACTATATCTTTATAAAATATTCCATTTTCGATAATCATACGTACTTTTTTGCACAGTATAATAAGAAATCAATTTATTAAAGAAAACAGATAATTGAATATGTAATATTCAATATGCAGCAGCATACTTTTTTTATAAGCAACTGTGTTTTTTTACACCAATTCATTGGTCTCATTATTCCGTGCAAAAAAGATATGATTACCGAAAATGGAATATTTTACAAAGATATTTTATATTTTATGTCAAAAAATTGTTAGCCTTTATAAATCAAAGGGTCCCCCCGATGGGTTCCCACCTTGACGAAGTCCCGCGGCTGATGGGGGGGGGGGGGGTCCGGGGCGGAAGGATATCACCCGTTCAGGGGTGTGACCGACTGGCCTGGGCCCCCTTGGCTCGTCCGGCTGCTGGGGCGGGTGGAGGGGCTTGAGGAGGCGCGCGGGGGCCGCTCGCTCAGGAGATGGCAACCGTGTGCGCCGGACAAAGAGGAACCTCCCCAAGCTAAAGTGTGTGCAACCGTGCTGAGGGCTGCATGGCGTAAGGGAGTTACGTCACAAACGGTGCCTCTCGGATACCGGGCGACCTTCGAGAGTATCGAGCCAAGCCCTGGGCATTCGCGGCTCTGCCCAGGTGATACCGCGCGGCCGCGGTACTCGTGGGATCAAATATGAGTACAAGCCAAAATCAAAATGAAAACTTTTCGGAAGTCCTACAGGGCGTGGCCACCTTAGGTGACGAACGACCTGGAGGAGAAAGCCCGAGCAATTCGGGGGCGGAGCCAAATAAGGCCCAGCCACCAATCGCTAGGGTTCGTTATAGCGGAGCGGCAAGGCGACGCTATAAAAAACAGAAGCAGATGGAGGCGAAGGGGGAAGCTGAAAAGCCCACCTCGGAACTGACATCTGTTTCGACAGTTACTCCCAGGACGGGGGAGCGAGCTTCTTCTGGGGCGGTTAAGCGACTCAGATCGGAGCATAGCACACCCAGTCCTGCCAGTAACACTCAGTTGGGCAAAAGGCCGAAAGTCATAACTGATCAAAGGACTTTTGCCCAATTGACCTCCGGTCTTGTGAGGGTTGCCCTGGTTCCCTTGGCTTACCCTGACAAAAGACTGGAAAAAGACGAGGCATCGCTTCTGAAAGAAACGGTCAGAAGGCGTATCCTTTGCTTAGCAAGGGGTACCAAAGCGCCTACTTTCAGAGGCACCTCGGATAGGGACGGGGCAGTTGTTTTTAACTGCACGAACAGGGAAACTGAGGAGTGGCTTAGAAGCCTAACCTCAGAAATCAAGATCAATGGGATCGAACTGCGTGCACTGCGAGTCGATGAGCTCCCTAAGAGACATCGAATCGTAGTGCATGTTGAGGATCCCACAATACCTGTCAAGGAAGCGTTGGAGCTACTTGACAGGCAGAACGTAGGCATCCAGTCACCGGACTGGGTGATCGCGAAGGGTAGCGAAAGCAGGGACGCCACGAGCACCCACTTCGCTGCCCTTGTTGGGGATGGGGCTTTGAGGGCGCTAAGAGCTCTCAATTTTAAACCCTACTGTGGACTTGGGCAGGCAACGATCAGGTTGCCTGCTGGAGAAAGCAGTAAGGAAGGCGCAAAGGAGAAATCACCGGACCCGTCAGCATAAATATGGCGGACCGGATTCACTTTACGCAGATTAACTTGCATCACAGCAAAAGCGCCTCGGCTGTACTAGCCAGGTGCGCAGCTGTGATGCACACAAGTAAATATATATTTTTAATACAGGAACCATGGATCATCAAGGGACACATAAGAGGACTTGGCAGCTGTGGAAAACTATTCTGGGCCGGAAACACGGACCGACCGAGAGCGTGCATTATAGCGAAAGGAATAGACGCCTGTCTACTGCCACAATTTAGCGATGGTGACTTTGTTGCCATCAGACTGAAGATAAAGACGACCGGTGGAATAGCCAGGGATCTAATTATAGGGTCAGTGTACATGCCCTACGATTTGGAAAACCTGCCCCCACACGAAAACATGATGAAACTCACGACTTATGCAAGGCAGAAAGGGCTAGAAATACTCCTGGGATGCGATGCCAACTCGCACCATCTGGTGTGGGGGAGCACCGACATAAATCCCAGGGGTGAGAGCCTATTCAACTTTGTGGTAGGTATGGAGCTACACATCCTGAATAGAGGAACAGAACCTACCTTCCTGGACTCTAGAAGACAGGAAGTGATAGATATAACCATATGCTCAGGCGGAATACTGGACCTGTTGAGGGGATGGAGGGTCTCTGATGAGCCCTCAGGATCAGACCACAGGCAGGTCCGTTTCACCATGGAGCAAGTACAGAGCCAAGGGTTATGGAAGAGAAATCCTAGGAAAACAAATTGGAGAGGGTACGAGGAAGACCTTAGGAGTCGACTCAAGGAAGCACCCACTAGATTCCACACCAAAGAAAATTTGGAAACAGCGGCAGACTACTTGAATGATGCCATTAAATACTCATACGAGATGAACTGCCCATTAGAGTCAAAGAACCCTTCAGCCAAAGCACCATGGTGGAATAAAGAGCTAGCTAAGCTAAGGGCTGAGGGGAGAAGACTCTTTAATAGGGCTAGAAATGTAAATACACCGAGATCCTGGGAGGAGTACAGGAAATCTCAGAGAATTTACAAAAAGGCCATAGTAAAAGCTAAAAGGAAAGGATGGAGAAGTTTTTGCTCAAGTATAGAGAGTGCTCCTGAAGCATCTAGACTGAGTAGAATACTCTGCAAGGAAAACCAAACACAATGGGGCTGCCTTAAGCGTCCCAATGGAGGGTACACAGAAACTGCGGAGGAGACCCTACGGCACCTTATGGAAATTCATTTCCCAGGCTTTAGGGAGGACTCAGCAGACAACAACAACAGGCAGAGACCCATGACCGTGCACAAATCAAGGGCATGGGGACTGGCAGCTAAGGTGGTCTATCCACAAGCAGTGGAATGGGCGGTCGGTTCCTTCGAGCCTCTCCAGGACCTGATGGAATATACCCGATCCTGCTGCAGAAAGGGCTGAGCATCTTGCTAGGCCCAATGACAAAAATCTACAGGGCAAGTATTGCCCTTAGACATGTCCCCCAGAAGTGGAGAAAAACCAAGGTGGTTTTCATACCTAAACCTGGCAAGAACGGTCACGTCAGGGCAAAGGACTATAGACCAATTAGCCTTATGTCCTTTGTATTGAAGACCTTAGAGAGACTGGTGGACAGATTTCTCAAGTCCAACTCTCTAATACAACAACCTCTAGCCGACTCTCAGTATGCCTACAGGGAGGGCAGGTCTACCGAAACCGCCCTACATCACCTGATAGGCAAAGTTGAGAGTCAGCTGGAGGCAAAGGGCTATGCGATCGGAATCTTCCTGGACATCGAGGGCGCTTTCGATAGCACTTCACACGAGGTGGTAGGGGAGGCACTGATCAAACATGGAGTTCAAGAACCACTGGTGGACTGGATAGGAAATATGCTAGTGGACAGACGCTTAACGGTGGAGTGCCAAGACATCTCCATCAGAGGAAAACCAACGAGAGGCTGCCCACAGGGGGGAGTTTTATCTCCTCTGTTGTGGTGTCTAGTGATAGACGACCTGCTAAAGGAGCTACAGAGGAAAGGTTTCTCGACCTTTGGCTATGCTGATGACGTGGCCATAGTGGTTAGAGGACCATTTCTCAACACACTAAGGGACCAAGCAAAGGATACCTTAAGGATTGTGCAAAACTGGTGTGAGAACAGATGTCTAACGGTTAATCCGAGCAAGACAAATATTATGGTCTTCACCAGAAAATATAAACCTGAACCCATAAAGACGTTAAAACTCTGGGGAGAGGAAATACCGTTTACAGACTCGGTGAAATACTTGGGACTGTTTCTAGATCCTAAGCTTAGCTGGGGAAAACATCTCATAAAGCAAAGGAAAAGTTCTATGCATCCATGTGGATGTGCAGAAGGGCAATGAGCAAGTCGTGGGGCATCAGCGCTGGTGCAGCTTTGTGGCTGTACAGGGCGGTCCTGCTACCGCGGCTGCTATACGCGTCAGTCGTCTGGTGGACGAGAATAAATAAAGGGGAGGTAGAGAAACTACTTAGAAGCCTGCAAGGTAACTACCTAAGGGCTGCAGTAGGGGCCATGAGAACCACACCCACAGAGGCGCTTGAAATAGCACTCAGTGTTACGCCAATAGGCTTGGCCGTGATAAAATCAGCCAATACCACGGCATACCGTCTGAAATGTCAGGGTGAATGGAGAAACACAGGACTGGGACACACCAGGCTTGGTCTTCTCCAAAAGTACCCTATAGAGGGAATACAAGACAGAACTACAAGAAAGTATCAACTGGTAAAACACTTTAAGATATGGATACCTGATAGAAATGAGTGGCTGAAACCGGGCGGAATCATGGACACAAAGGTGGACATGTGGTTCACGGACGGATCAGGCATAAACAACTGCTTTGGAGCAGGAGTATATGGACCTGGGGAAAACCATAGGGAGAGTATTCCAATGGGAGGCGACTGCACGGTCTTTATGGCAGAGATGCTCGCCATCCTCAGATGTGCCGAACTGAACCTAACCAAAGGAACAAATTGCAGGAAAATATATATCTGCACAGACAGTAGGGCGGCCCTTCAGGCGTTGGCGGGTGCGACCACCGAGTCTTGCTTGGTATGGGACTGCATGCTGGCGCTGGAGGAGCTGTGTGGAACAAATAAAGTAACGTTAGTCTGGGTGCCCGGGCATCAGGGCATACCGGGTAACGAAATAGCAGACTCACTGGCTAGAGAAGGGGCTAGCAAAGCACCAGATAGTCGGGAGATGGGAGTGCCCTTTACGATGGGTAAGAACTTCATCAGGGAAAGTATAGACAAACAACATAAGGCCAGGTGGGATAATCTGAAATCCTGCCGACAGGCCAAATTCCTGATGAAAGACATAAATGGTAACAGAACCAAGGAACTGCTCACGTTGAATAGGCAGAAATTGAGGATGGGGATAGGACTGCTGACAGGACATTCACCAATACTCAAAGCCCACCTATTCAATATCAGACTCGCAGACAGGAAGGAGTGTCGACTATGCGGGGAGGAAAAAGAGGACAGCATACATATTCTGTGCCAATGTCCGGCTCTGGCTAGAAAGAGATTCAGGATCTGGGGACAAAGTTTTCTTAAATCCCAAGAATTAGACAAAACAAGGGTGGTGGAACTCATAAGCCTAGTGGAGAACTCTGGGCTGAGTACACATCACTCAGTTTAAAGACAAGAGTGAGAAGACACAATGGATCTCGCTGGATCTAGGTGCCGTCGGGGGCCAAGTCATGGAACCACTCACTACCAATCTACTACTACTACTACTACTAAATCAAAGGGTACTCCATAAAAAATATTTTTATTAGTGTTTTGGAAAGCTCTCCAGATAAGCTACAAGAATATGTAATAAAAATTATAGGATTTCATCTAAAAAATTCAAGGTGACCTTATTCTGACCTTGGTAACGCCGTCCAAGGTCAAACTGATAAGATCAATAAATAGATTTTTTATAACTTTTGTCTGAATCTTTTTTCTGTAAAACGTATACTTTTCAAGATTTTTCAGTGTTCCGATCTTTTTTGGGACACTCTGTATATATATATATATATATATTATAATATATACACATACCTATTGATTTATTTAGCAATCTGTCTATCGAACTATCTATCATCTATCGATCAACCTATCTATCTATCTATCTATCTATTGATTTATCTGTCTCTTCTCTCTTTTCTACATTGCATTTTTTTATATATGTACATATGTATATAATAATTTTTTAAAAATATTGTACATTACAAAAGTAAAAATAATTAAATTTATAATCTAATAATATATAAAAATCTTTTATGAATATAATAATTACAAAGTTTTAGTAGATAATTTTTTGTAATAAATAAATGATTTATTCTTATCTAAATACTGCTCTGTTTTGATAATAATAGCATTATTATGTATTCAATCTCTAAAATACTTTTATATAAATTATTACAAAGAATTATTTACTTTATAATCAATTATAATTATTATAGATAGGCCTGTTTATACACATACACAGACATATATATATATATATTGTGTGTAAGTGTGTGTATGTGTATAAACAGGCCTATCTATAATAATTATAATTGATTATAAAGTAAATAATTCTTTGTAATAAATGATTTATATAAAAGTATTTTAGAGATTGAATACATAATAATGCTATTATTATCAAAACAGAGCAGTAGTTAGATAAGAATATATCATATAAATCATTTATTTATTACAAAAAATTATCTACTAAAACTTTGTAATCATTATATTCATAAAAGATTTTTATATATTATTAGATTATAAATTTAATTATTTTTATAAATTTAACATATATAAGATAGGCAATAAGAGCCAAATCGCGGATGACAGTGCGTTATTCTAAACGAAACTAAATTTTTTCGTTAGAATTAAATACCTGTGCACAAGGCACCAAATTTTTACTTGGACACGGCCAAGATATAAAATTGGAATAATCTCTACAAGAGATTTTTAATTCCATGTATCCCCTATTCCCCCTAAAGAAATAAAGTGCGAGAGAAAAATATAGATCCGAAAGTCGCAGAATCGGGAATCGAACCCGAGACCTTTCGCTTGCCGGGCGACTGCTCTTCCAACTGAGCTATTCAGATCCTTTCGATTCTATACTTTTCTCTGTTATATATATTAATGTTGGTAAATAAACGCCTTTAAGCCAGCGTGTATAAATTAAGAGTTTAACTAGGCTCTGTAATATATAAATATAAATTTAACATATATAAGATAGGCAATAAGAGCCAAATCGCGGATGACAGTGCGTTATTCTAAACGAAACTAAATTTTTTCGTTAGAATTAAATACCTGTGCACAAGGCACCAAATTTTTACTTGGACACGGCCAAGATATAAAATTGGAATAATCTCTACAAGAGATTTTTAATTCCATGTATCCCCTATTCCCCCTAAAGAAATAAAGTGCGAGAGAAAAATATAGATCCGAAAGTCGCAGAATCGGGAATCGAACCCGAGACCTTTCGCTTGCCGGGCGACTGCTCTTCCAACTGAGCTATTCAGATCCTTTCGATTCTATACTTTTCTCTGTTATATATATTAATGTTGGTAAATAAACGCCTTTAAGCCAGCGTGTATAAATTAAGAGTTTAACTAGGCTCTGTAATATATAAATATAAATTTAACATATATAAGATAGGCAATAAGAGCCAAATCGCGGATGACAGTGCGTTATTCTAAACGAAACTAAATTTTTTCGTTAGAATTAAATACCTGTGCACAAGGCACCAAATTTTTACTTGGACACGGCCAAGATATAAAATTGGAATAATCTCTACAAGAGATTTTTAATTCCATGTATCCCCTATTCCCCCTAAAGAAATAAAGTGCGAGAGAAAAATATAGATCCGAAAGTCGCAGAATCGGGAATCGAACCCGAGACCTTTCGCTTGCCGGGCGACTGCTCTTCCAACTGAGCTATTCAGATCCTTTCGATTCTATACTTTTCTCTGTTATATATATTAATGTTGGTAAATAAACGCCTTTAAGCCAGCGTGTATAAATTAAGAGTTTAACTAGGCTCTGTAATATATAAATATAAATTTAACATATATAAGATAGGCAATAAGAGCCAAATCGCGGATGACAGTGCGTTATTCTAAACGAAACTAAATTTTTTCGTTAGAATTAAATACCTGTGCACAAGGCACCAAATTTTCGGGTTCGATTCCCGATTCTGCGACTTTCGGATCTATATTTTTCTCTCGCACTTTATTTCTTTAGGGGGAATAGGGGATACATGGAATTAAAAATCTCTTGTAGAGATTATTCCAATTTTATATCTTGGCCGTGTCCAAGTAAAAATTTGGTGCCTTGTGCACAGGTATTTAATTCTAACGAAAAAATTTAGTTTCGTTTAGAATAACGCACTGTCATCCGCGATTTGGCTCTTATTGCCTATCTTATATATGTTAAATTTATATTTATATATTACAGAGCCTAGTTAAACTCTTAATTTATACACGCTGGCTTAAAGGCGTTTATTTACCAACATTAATATATATAACAGAGAAAAGTATAGAATCGAAAGGATCTGAATAGCTCAGTTGGAAGAGCAGTCGCCCGGCAAGCGAAAGGTCTCGGGTTCGATTCCCGATTCTGCGACTTTCGGATCTATATTTTTCTCTCGCACTTTATTTCTTTAGGGGGAATAGGGGATACATGGAATTAAAAATCTCTTGTAGAGATTATTCCAATTTTATATCTTGGCCGTGTCCAAGTAAAAATTTGGTGCCTTGTGCACAGGTATTTAATTCTAACGAAAAAATTTAGTTTCGTTTAGAATAACGCACTGTCATCCGCGATTTGGCTCTTATTGCCTATCTTATATATGTTAAATTTATATTTATATATTACAGAGCCTAGTTAAACTCTTAATTTATACACGCTGGCTTAAAGGCGTTTATTTACCAACATTAATATATATAACAGAGAAAAGTATAGAATCGAAAGGATCTGAATAGCTCAGTTGGAAGAGCAGTCGCCCGGCAAGCGAAAGGTCTCGGGTTCGATTCCCGATTCTGCGACTTTCGGATCTATATTTTTCTCTCGCACTTTATTTCTTTAGGGGGAATAGGGGATACATGGAATTAAAAATCTCTTGTAGAGATTATTCCAATTTTATATCTTGGCCGTGTCCAAGTAAAAATTTGGTGCCTTGTGCACAGGTATTTAATTCTAACGAAAAAATTTAGTTTCGTTTAGAATAACGCACTGTCATCCGCGATTTGGCTCTTATTGCCTATCTTATATATGTTAAATTTATATTTATATATTACAGAGCCTAGTTAAACTCTTAATTTATACACGCTGGCTTAAAGGCGTTTATTTACCAACATTAATATATATAACAGAGAAAAGTATAGAATCGAAAGGATCTGAATAGCTCAGTTGGAAGAGCAGTCGCCCGGCAAGCGAAAGGTCTCGGGTTCGATTCCCGATTCTGCGACTTTCGGATCTATATTTTTCTCTCGCACTTTATTTCTTTAGGGGGAATAGGGGATACATGGAATTAAAAATCTCTTGTAGAGATTATTCCAATTTTATATCTTGGCCGTGTCCAAGTAAAAATTTGGTGCCTTGTGCACAGGTATTTAATTCTAACGAAAAAATTTAGTTTCGTTTAGAATAACGCACTGTCATCCGCGATTTGGCTCTTATTGCCTATCTTATATATGTTAAATTTATATTTATATATTACAGAGCCTAGTTAAACTCTTAATTTATACACGCTGGCTTAAAGGCGTTTATTTACCAACATTAATATATATAACAGAGAAAAGTATAGAATCGAAAGGATCTGAATAGCTCAGTTGGAAGAGCAGTCGCCCGGCAAGCGAAAGGTCTCGGGTTCGATTCCCGATTCTGCGACTTTCGGATCTATATTTTTCTCTCGCACTTTATTTCTTTAGGGGGAATAGGGGATACATGGAATTAAAAATCTCTTGTAGAGATTATTCCAATTTTATATCTTGGCCGTGTCCAAGTAAAAATTTGGTGCCTTGTGCACAGGTATTTAATTCTAACGAAAAAATTTAGTTTCGTTTAGAATAACGCACTGTCATCCGCGATTTGGCTCTTATTGCCTATCTTATATATGTTAAATTTATATTTATATATTACAGAGCCTAGTTAAACTCTTAATTTATACACGCTGGCTTAAAGGCGTTTATTTACCAACATTAATATATATAACAGAGAAAAGTATAGAATCGAAAGGATCTGAATAGCTCAGTTGGAAGAGCAGTCGCCCGGCAAGCGAAAGGTCTCGGGTTCGATTCCCGATTCTGCGACTTTCGGATCTATATTTTTCTCTCGCACTTTATTTCTTTAGGGGGAATAGGGGATACATGGAATTAAAAATCTCTTGTAGAGATTATTCCAATTTTATATCTTGGCCGTGTCCAAGTAAAAATTTGGTGCCTTGTGCACAGGTATTTAATTCTAACGAAAAAATTTAGTTTCGTTTAGAATAACGCACTGTCATCCGCGATTTGGCTCTTATTGCCTATCTTATATATGTTAAATTTATATTTATATATTACAGAGCCTAGTTAAACTCTTAATTTATACACGCTGGCTTAAAGGCGTTTATTTACCAACATTAATATATATAACAGAGAAAAGTATAGAATCGAAAGGA